ATTCAAATGATGCAATGGAAATGATATTTTTAAACATGACTGAGGGAACATAGAGCTTTTTAAGTTGTTTAGTCCATTGAAAAATATTTATTAGTATACTTATTTATCTTTCCATGCCTTAGGCATGTAATAAATGTTTATTTGTATTTTATTTTGGTTTGTTATATATGACAACAGAATGCATTACAATTCATATTACACATATAGTGCACAATTTTTCATATCTCTGGTTGTACACAAAGTAGAGTCACATCCTTCGTGTCTTCTTACATGTACTTAGGATAATGATGACCATCAAATTCCACCATCTTTCCTACCCCCATCCCCGGCTCCCTACCCTCCCTCCCCTTTTCCCCTTTGCCCTATCTAGGGTTCATTTAATCCTCCCATCCCCCACCCATAGCATATTATGGATCTGAATCCTTAAATCAAGAGAAATTTGGTTTTTTTGGTGTTGGCTAATTTCACTTAGCATTATATTTTCCAGCTTCATCCATTTACCTGCAAATGCCATGACTTTATTCTCTTTAATGGGAATAATATTCCATTGTATACATATGTCACATTTTCTTTATCCATCAACTGAAGGGCATCTAGGTAGGTTCCACAGTTTAGCTATTGTGAATTGTGCTGCTATAAACATTGATGTGGCTGTGTCCCTGCAGTATGTTGTTTCAGGAAATATTTCTTAAAAGAGTAAGGGAATTCTGTTTTGTTTTGTTTTTTTTTTGGTACTAGGGATTGAACTCTCAGCAGTGTTCTACCATCGAGCCACCTCCCCAGCCCTTTTTATTTTTTTAGTTTGAGAAATGGTCTCCCTAAGTTGTTTAGGGCCTCACTAAATTACTGAGGCTGGCCTTGAACTTGTGATCTTCCCTCTTGAATCACTGGGATTACCTGCATGTGCCACTGTGCGTGGCTCCAAAACTAAAGGAATTCTAGGGTTGGGGATGTGGCTCAAGCTGTAGCGCGCTTGCCTGGCATGCGTGCGGCCCAGGTTCGATCCTCAGCACCACAAACAAACAAAGATGTTGTGTCCGCCAAAAACTAAAAAATATTTTTTAAAAATTCTCTCTTTAAAAAAAAAAAAAAAAACTAAAGGAATTCTATAAAAAAGTGATTTCTTAAAAATTCAAGACTAACCACCTACCCAATGGTCAACATCTTTTTATTTTTTTAAATTTTATATATATATATATATATATATATATATATATATATATATATATTTTTTTTTTTTTTTTTTTTTTTTTTTTAAGTAGTTGGTCATTTATTTATTTTTTTGTGGTGCTGAGGATCAAACCCAGGGCTTCACATGTGCTAGAGGAGCCAGAGCTCTACCACTGAGCCAGAACCACAGCCCCTCAACATCCTTTTAGAATATCCTTACCACTCATTCAATCTCTTTCAGTGTTAAAAAAAAAAAAAAAATCCTCAGTCTATTAAATTTGTTAAAAACAATTGTTTCAGCTCTTTATTTTAATCTAATATCCAATTTTAAACCATTGGTCCACTTGTCTCAGGTCTATCCTCCAGATTTGACAAAAGGATCTACAGTTTTTTAAACTATCTTCTTCTACTATTATGATCCTGTCCCTCTTAAATCTTCCCACAAGTAAACTTCCCACATTCTTTAAACAACTACTGCACCTTTCATTAATCATCAAGCTCTTAAAAAAAATTTTTTTTTCCTCTTAAAATAATAGACTTTCTCAATGTGCCTCTTAGAAGGAAATAGCCCAGTTGAACACAATTCCAGATCTGATCTGACCAGTGCTATTGCTTCCTTTATTTGGGTCACCATAAGCATAGCAATATAGGACTAGTACAAGATTCATTACCATATTAATGGCATGGTTCAGACACAAGTGCTCTAAGAGTTTAAAGGAGAAAGAGATCACTATGGACTGAGGAATTGAAAATTTTCAACAACAAAATAAAGACTTTAAACTGGAAAAAATACATTTTCAATAAGCAGAAAATATGAAAAGAGCCAGGTGTGGTGGCACACGTCTGTAATCCCAGCGGTTTGGGAGGCTGAGGCATGAGGATCACAGGTTCAAAACCCACCTCAGCAACTTAGAGAGACCCTAAACAATTTAGGAAGACTCTGTTAAATAAAAATTTAAAAGGCACATGAGGCGGGGATGTGGCTCAGTGGTTTGTTAAGTACCCATGAATGATTCAATTCCTGGTACCCAAAATAAAAGGAAAGTTTCTTAATTAGAAAATATGGAAACATTATGGTGTGGCAGTAGAGAATTAACAAACTTCCCAAAAGACATTACAAAACCCAACCTCCCCCAAAGATATTTCAGGGGTTACAAGTGCAGAATAAAGCAAAGGTAGTATGGGGAATACAGTGCAGAAGCAAAGTATCTGTATAAGCACAGGCAGGAATACAGGGTCAAAAGGAGGGCTGTAGGCAATAAAGCATGATTGAAGGATTAAACTAAGGAAATGAAGTTTGAATCAAGATGTCTGGGGATAATTAAATGAACACCAGTTTGCCAATTTCTTTCTTTCTTTTTTTTTTTTATTTTAGTTGTGGACGGACCTTTATTTTATTTATTTATATATGGTGCTGAGAATCAAACCCAGTGCCTCAAACATGCTAGTCAAGCACTCCACCACTGAGCCACAACCCCAGCCCCAGTTTGCCAGTTTCTACATCAAGTTAACTACTTGAGTTTTACTACTTGGAGAAAATTTCTAATTCAATTCTACTCCACCATTAAATGAAAGTAAGTTGTTATACACTATCTACTATATAAGCTATTTTCAGAATATGAATAATATTCTTAGAGTCAAAATATAATGCAAGGAATATCATTTTTAAAATATTTATCCATTTCTGTACATTTTTCCAGGTGAATACTTTACCATTTAATGAGTATTTGCATAAAAGATAGTGGCTTGTTTCAGTAATTAAAATTTTCTGAGGCTGAGAGAGTGGGCTCAGTGGTAGAGCATTTGCCTTTCAAGTATAAGATCCTGGGTTTGATCCACAGCACCATCAAAATAAACAAATAAATGCCAGATATCTATTCAAAAGATAAAGACCTTCCCTATACCAAAAAAGAAAAAAAGGATACTGACCTGCTCAGGGTCTCTATTCTCCTCAAAAGTAGAGAAGTTTGACTAAAGTAACATTAAAAGGAAAAAAGAATCTGGAATGTAATTCAATGGTAAAGTACATGTTTGGCATGCCTGAGACCCTATGTTCAATCCCCAGCACCACAATAGATAAATAGCAAAGATGTTAGCCAAACAGTAGGTACCAACATTGAGCTTCTATTAAAGCTAGCTGATTTTAAAACAAATGAAAATAGCAGCAACTCCTTCTCTAAAGTTATTTAAATTCAGTTAAATGGAATTTGTTTTATTTACTTTATTGAATTGAACCCAGAGGCACTTTCTCACTAAGCTACAATCCCAATCCTTATTTTTTGTTTTAAGACAGGGTCTCACTAAGTTGCTTATGGCCTGGGTAAACTGCTGAGGCTGACCTTAAGCTTGTGATGCTCCTGCCCCAGCCTCCCTAGCTCTGGGATTACACAAGTGCACCATTGCCTGCCTTAGAATTTGTTTTTTAAAGAGTCTTTCATAAGTCTTTATTATGGTGTGGCAGTAGAGAATTAATAAACTGCCAAAAAGACATTGCAAAACCCAACCTTTCCCAAATCCTGCTACACAGCAGCAGGGTTCTAAAGAAATAAATAGACTCCCAGCTGCTGAGAAAAAATGTCTTACTAAAACCAAAGCAAAATTCTCATTAATGAAAAATCAACCATGAAAGAAAAAAAAACTGTGTCTCATAATCCCTGGAAATAACAAAATCCCATTTTGGGTTAATGCAGATTTAACAAAACCGTGGAAGAGAGCAGGGCAAAGCAGTTCCATTTGCCAGCATCTGGGGGAAACACTGTTATCAGAGAGATCACAAACAAGGACAATGCTTCTAATCTGTACAGCCAAAAAAAACATAAACTCTTAACTGTCCAGTAAAAGGTACCAGGAAAAAGCTCTGGTGAAGCCTTCAGTGTATAAGTACTTTCTCACTCATAATCAAGACACTTTATCCCATCTTGTTCAACCCAGCTATGACAGGTTGTAACTTAAATTTCCCAAGATAAATTCAACAGTAATCCAAACCCTGCTTTTTCTGAGCAGATAATCTCTCTAAAATCAGTTCTTGCATTCATTCAAAACCAACATTGAGCTTCTATTAAAGCAGGCACTGGGAGTACTACAAAAACCAATAGGAATCAGTCTCTATCTACATGAAGCTTAATGTATTCTAATGGTCTCTCATCTTAAACCCCCAAAGCTCTAGCTTTAACATATCTTCTTAGGTCAAATGTCCTCAGGGAAAAAGCAATAAAAGACCTTCGCTGTGAGTTACTGGGATGGAAGCTTCAAGGGAAGAAGAAAAAAAAAAACGATGCTCTGTTCCAACGGAGAAGAAACACCCTTCAGAGTGAAATATGAGAATAATTTTAGTCTAGACTTAGACTACAGACTGGGGTTCAGGGAAGGAGCAGGGAACAAGCAATAAAGGTGCAAATCAGGAAATACACTGGAAGAAGGAATGGGCAGCTGTATCACTAACGCATTTAAAGAGTGATAAAAAAGAACCTGCTACTATATACTAGTTTTACAGTGCAGAAAAAAGGAAGAAACAATGGGAGACTGCCCGCTATTGACAGGCTCCAACGATCCGCGGTCTCCTAGCTCATCCGCTCTCACTGGAGAAAAAAACCCAGTCACTGTTTGTAGGACTTGGGCCAGCCAACTAACAACACTGTCACATGGCTACCAGAATGGAGAGGTAACAGTCCCTTGCAGAAGCTTGGGGAGAGGAAATTCTTCAAATGTTTATAAATGGTTAACATATCTGTCCTCCAAGGCGCGGAAGGGAACTTTGGGAGAGGTGATAACTGGACGATAACTGAAGTGTGTGGAACCTGCCGCCTCCCCACTCCAATACGCACACTCACCGCGCACACAGAGCAGTGACATGGCCGAGGTGCCGGCTAGCTTACGCCGACTAGCCTCCGCCGGGCCCCCGCCGGGCCGCTCCCTCTTTTCTCTCAGCAGGTGCCGCGACGGCGCCCGCTATCAGTCCCAAGGGTCCGGCAGCTCTTCATGGTCCCCGTAGCAGACAGCTTCCCTCCGCTCCCCCGGTCCCGCTCCAGTTCTCACCATCTGAGTGAGCTCTGGACAGCGCTAAGTACCGGCCGGTAAACCGGGGATTGGGCGCGGCACCGCGGCGCCATCGCTGGGAGACAAGAGCGGCAGACTCCCACCGTCACTTCACCCGGGATCTGTGCGAGCGCCTGAGCGGAACACACCCCTGGCGCCCCGCCCCCTAACCAATCAATTCACGCCCAGTCCTCCAACCCCGCCCCTCGGAGGCGCGTAGGAGGCGGGGTCCCCTTCCTCTTACGTGCGAGACTGAATGCCCCTCAGCCCACTAACAAATCCTCACGCCAAGTGGGGTGGGGCTTCCTCTCACCTGTGTGAGGCGGGAACTGAAGCACTCGGTTCCTCCCACGTGGGTGGGGCTTCCACTCAGAAACATTCTTTTCATTGAAGAATTTCCATTAGACTTCCTTAAAGAGGTTAGCCTTAACAGCTGACTGGTTACTTGCCATATATTTTAGCAAGATCGTACCACATGGCAAAGAATGTTTTTATTTTGTTTTGTTGGTACTGGAGATTGAATCCAGGGACTCTTTTCTACTGAGCTACATTCCCAGTCCTTGTTATTATTTGAGGCAGAGTCTCTATAAGTTGTTGAGAGTGGCCTCGAAGTTACACTTCTACCTCACCTCCCGAATTGTTGAGATTTACAGGTGTGCATCATCATGTCTGACCAAAGTAAATTTTAATTAGTTATTTAGGACAAGAAAAACACACACACACACACACACACACACAACTGAGTGAACATAGTGTCTGGGGGTTGGGAGTATAGGTCAGTTGGTAGAGTACTTGCCTCACATGCACAAGGCCCTGGATTCAGTCCCCAGCACCACAAAAGAAAAAAGAAAAAGAAAAAAAAGAAAGAAAGAAAAGAAAATATAGTGTCTAGAAGTCTCTGACTTATTTTCATGCTCTTCATTGTATCTCCATTAACTGGAATAGCACCTAACATGCAGAAATCAGACCATTAATGTTTACATTAAGAGAGGGACATTTTAAGCTGACTGGCTACTGCTGGCAAGATGATATATGCACATGTGAAGAACTTAAAAAAAAAAATAGAATAGAAAACAGGAAGATACATAGTGCTGCCAAGATTGAGCACCACATAGACTATGTGCTTTCTTAGTCTCATTAGCCCAGCTAGGTTTCACCATTGGCAAGTTCTTGGCCCAGAGGATTCTACCTGCCAGACCCAGAGAGGATCTAACAGGATCTTTTATATATATTAATTGTAAATGGACCTTTATTTTATTTATTTATTTATATGTGGTGCTGAGGATCAAACCCAGGGCCTCACACATGCCAGGCAAGTGCTCTACCACTGAGCAACAACCCCAGCCCCTCTAACAGGATCTTTACCCACAATAGCAAACCTCCTAGGGCTGGGGTTGTAGCTCAGTGGTAGAGTGCTTGCCTTGCATGCGTGAGGCCCTGGGTTTGATCCTCACCAACACATAAAAATAAATTTTAAAAAATAAAGATATTGTGTCCATCTAAAAAAACAACTAAATTTTTTTTTTTTTAAATAGCAAACTTCATAGCCAGGCTGGCCCATGTCTGTAATCCCAATGACTTGGGAGGCTGAGGCAGGAGGATTGCAAGTTCGAGGCCAGCCTGAGCAACTTAGCAAGACCCTGTTTCAAAATAAAAAAGGGCTGGGGTTGTAGCTAAATGGTGGAGAGAACCCCTGGTTTCAACTTCTAGTGCTGGGATGGGGACTAGCTACCATATGACTCCTCTCATTGGAATAAGTGTTATGAGAAACTACAAATGTTATAGAAGAGAAAAAACTTGATCTTTCCCATTTTAATCCAAATTTGCAGCAATAACCCAAGGAAGATTTTGAGGCAACTCAGCCAGCCTAGTCAAGGGAGATGTCTGAACTCAAAATCTCTGGGTATTCTCTGGGCTACTGGAGGTTGGAATGCCTAGCTATTTAGCCCAGCTGTCCTAAACCATAAGAGCAAGTTGCTAAAAAGGAATTGAACTTTTGGATTCTGTGACTGAGTTTAGAGACAGCAAACAGAGCTCTAATGAAATCAGAGATTCTCCTAGAGGACACAGAGGACATCCGATGAAGGATGGAACGTCACCATTCACCTGGAAACAACCTAATAAAATTGTGACAAGCATGAACTTTGGAGCCAGATTCATCTGGAGTAGTACATATTGTCATATAACAAATTACCCCAAAACTCAGTAGCTTGAAACATTAATTTGCCAGGCATAGTGGTGCACACTTGTAATCCCAGCTACTCAGGACCGAGGGCAGGAGGATCAAAAGTACAAAACCAGCCTGAGCAACTTAGTGAAACCCTGTCTCAAATAAAAAAAATTAAAAGGGCTAGGGATGTAGTTCAGTGTTAAAATACTCCTGGGTTCTATCCCCAGTACCACACACATATACACACACATTAAAAACAAAAAAAAATTTCACAGTTTCTGGGCTGAGTCTGTAGCTCAGTGGCAGAGCGCTTGCCTAGCATGTGTGAGGCACTGGGTTCGATCCTTAGAACCACAAGAAGAAGAAGAAGAAGGAGAAGGAGAAGAAGGAGAAAGAAAGGCATTCTGTCCCTCTACAAAAAAAAAAAAAAAAAAAACACAGTTTCTGTTGGTCAGAAATCTGGGAACAGCTTCTCACAAGCTGCAAAGTGCCAGATTGACTGGAAAGGATCCATTTCCAAGCTTGTTCATGTGATTGTTGGCAGGACTCAATTTCTCTAGGGCTGTTGTTCTGATTCCTTATTGGCTATTGACTGTTCCTTGTCATGTGTGGGACTCTCCAACATGGCAGCTTGTTTCATCAAAGCATGCAAGCTGAGAAGGCAGTAGAGTCGGCTATGAAAATAGAATTCACAATCTTTTGAAACCTAGTTACAGAAGTGACTTACCCTCCTTTTTAATGTATCCTCTTTCTCAAAAGCAAGTTACATGCAAGGGAAGGAAATTAAACAAGTCCATGAATACTACCAGGAGATAGGATCATTAGAGAAGTTCTTAGAATCTGCCTATCACACCTGGATTTGAGTCCTAGTTTTCATAACCTAGGACAAGTTATATAATCTTAATTTTTCAGGGAGTAAGTAATAACAGTATGTATTGGCCACAAGGCCAGAAGTGGTGTCGCACACCTGTAATACCAGAGACTCAGGAGACTGGGGTAGGAGGATTGCAAGTTACCAGCCAGCTTCAACAACTTAGTGAAACCCTGTCTCAAAAACTAAAACTGGCTGGGGAGGTAGCTCAGTGGTAGAATTCCCCTAGGTTCAAGGTCCAGTACCTAATAATAATAATAATAACAACAACAACAACAATAATAATAATAACTTTATTCATATATAAATTTTAAAAAGAGAGAAAAAATAATATCTACTTCATAAGATGGTCTTAAGGTTTAAATGAAGATATGCACTTAGATTACCTGATACAGCTGGACACTATGGCACAGGCCTATAATCCCAGGAACTTGAGAGGCTGAGGCAGGATGATCACAAGTTCAAGAACAGCCTCAACAATTTAGCAAGACTCTAAGCAACTTAGTAAAACCCTGTCTCAAAATAAAAAATAACAAGGGCTGGGGATATAGTTTAGGGGTAAAGTGCTCCTGGATTCAATCCCAAATACCCACCCCCAGAATTATCTGCTACATGGTAAAAATCCAAAGCTTGTTTTTTAAATATATCTTTTTAATTGACATGGGCACAATATCTTTATTTTGTCTATTTATTTTTATGCGGAGCTGAGGATCGAACCCAGTGCCTCTCATATTCAAAGCAAGCACTCTGTCACTGAGCCATAACCCTAGCCCCAAAGCCTGTTTATTATTACTTATGTTGAGAAGACTAGCAGGGAGTATACACAGATGGTAAAGATGAGCTTAGGAGAGCAAGAGTCACTGAAGATTATGATACAGGCTCTAAGGCATTGCAGTTTAACAGTTAAAAGGGAAAGTTCAGAGGAAGAAAGCAATAAGGTCCTCTGTTCTCCAGGCATTTGATCAGGACCAGTTACACTCATCAAGGAACCATTCAGTGCAAACAACAACAGAAAACCAGAGCATCAAAAGTCAGGCTCTGCGCTCGCCTTGCACCTGCGAGACCCTGGGTTCAATCCTCAGCATCACATAGAAATAAATAAGTGAAATAAAGGTATTGTGTCCAACTACAACAAAAGAAATAAATATTAAAAAAAAACACACACACACAACCATGTTTAGAACAAAAAGTCAGGCTCTGGTGGCATATACCTGTAGTCTCAACTATTCGAGAGGATGAAGCAGGAATATTGCCTAGGCCCAAGAGTTCCATGTCAGCCTGGGCAACATGTCAAAAGAGAACCTGTCAGAAGGAAGGAAGGAGGGAGGGAGGGAGGGAAGAAAGGAAGGAAGGAAGGGAGGGAGGGAGGGAGGAAGGAAAGAGATATATACCTTTTGCATGAACGGAAGCGCAGGGAGGATAAAATGGCTTTGATAATTGGAATCCACAGATGATCCCTGAAACTTACTTTAGACCAGTTTTCTTCTTCTTCCTCTTCTTTCTCTTCTTCCCCTTCCCCTTCCCCTTCTTCTTCTCCTTCTCCATGTATGGTGTGGTACTGGAGATTGAACCCAGAGCCTAGCACTCCACCACTGAGCTACAATCCAGCCCGTTAGTCAAGTTTTTCCAAGATGTCACCAAAAAAGAACTGAATGAAGTAGCAAGATAAATGCTGAATCCAGCTTTCCAACTTTACTATTACTTTCTAAGTACTGGAACAAGTACTACGAGAGAATGACACTCCAGCCAGGTGCCATGGCACACACCTGAAATTCCAGTGGCTCAGGAGGTTGAGGCAGGAGGATCTCATTCAAAGTCAGCTCAGCAACAGCGAGGCGCCAAGTAATTCA